AAAACTCGACAACCATAATCCCGACTATATTACAAATCCGACTGTATCGAATTTCGACAACCTTAATCTCGACAAACATAATCCCGACTATATCAAAATTCCAACTGTATCAAAATCACATTTTTGATATAGTCTGGATTATGGTTACCGGGACTTTGATATAGTCGGGATTTTGATATAGTCCGGTTTCAAACGTTCGAAATCTCGACATCCATAATCCCGACTGTATCAGAATCTCGACAACCATAATCTCGACAAACATAATCCCGACTATATCAAATTCCAACTGTACAAAATCACATTTTTGATATAGTCTGGATTATGGTTACCGGGACTTTGATATAGTCGGGATTTTGATATAGTCCGGTTTCGAACGTTCGAAATCTCGACATCCATAATCCCGACTGTATCAGAATCTCGACACATAATCTCGACAACCATAATCTCGACAAACATAATCCCGACTATATCAAAATTCCAACTGTATCAAAATCACATTTTCGATATAGTCGGGATTATAGTTACCGAGACTTTGATATAGTCGAGATTTTGATATAGACCGGTTTCAAACGTTCGAAATCTCGACATCCATAATCCCGACTGTATCAGAATCTCGACAACCATAATCTCGTCTCGACAACCATAATCTCGACAAACATAATCCCGACTATATCAAAATTCCAACTGTACCAAAATCACATTTTCGATATAGTCGGGATTATGGTTACCGAGACTTTGATATAGTCGGGATTTCGATACAGTCGGGATTTCGATAGAAATTATTTCGGTTGTCGGGTTTGCGATTGCCACCGAAAATTTATATATTCCAATATTTTAAAATGAGATAATTTAGAAAATGTAAACTTAAAATTTGCTTTGTCTGGCCAAAATCCAAATAAATTTAGTATGTTGAAGTATTTCGTGTGCAGGAAGAGACCATAAACCTCGCTAAATTGCAATAAACGCACGCAGTAAAATTGATATAAAAGGTTAGCTTTATTAGAACGAATGCAGTAATTCGAATAAAACATAAAAAAATGACTTTTAATCTTATAATATTAGTAAGTAAATTAAGTGAAAACTTAGTTTAGATTTATATTTCAGTTTGTGAATAATAAATAAAGAAAATATTTTTCTGACATACATTTCGTACTTGTAAATTGATTTCGTTGAAAACATAACGCGTAGGCTGTGCACGAAAATATAACATATGCAGTGTAGACTGACTAGTCGTGATATTTAGATTTATTAATTGTGACTTTTAAAAATTACACCAAAAGAGAAATAAACGAGACCTGGCAACAAACAGGATTCGTGAACTCGATCGTGTAGTAATCCAGATTAAATGTCTTTGGCATTTCGCACGTAACGCAAAAACTAGTTATTAGTTAATCGAGGATCAAAAACAGGACGCTTTGATCTTTACGGCGACTTTTAGTTTTGTTTGTCTGCGTTGAAAAGTGCATACATTTTTGTTGTTTTGTTTAAAAAAAAAATGTCAATCTTGGAGGTGGACAAGGAAAATGACAAGCGAATGGATGTGAAACAACAACAAAAATGAAGCCCGTTTTCAAACGTGTCGCTGAAAAACTAGAGGGGGAGCAGAGCAACATTGCGACATTTTCTTTGGGCGCACGTAAAAAAAATTGCGTATATAAATGTCGAGGTGTGCGCTGGAAAGGCACAGTCAACAACGACGACAAACAGAACAACATCGAAATGGCATTCAAGGTAGGTTGATTTTTGTTAAACTATTCAAGAAATGATTTCACTATCAAGATTCTCCAGTTCGTAGCTTTCACCGCCCTTTTGGCCGTCGCCAATGCAGGAATCATCGCTTCGCCGTACGCTGCCGCCGCCCCATTGGCTTATCCAGCTCAAGTAGCTTATTCGAGCCCTCTGGTAACTAAAGTAGCTGAGCAATACGATCCTCATCCACAATACCAGTTCGGTTATGGAGTCAACGATCATTTGACCGGTGACAACAAGCAGCAGCAGGAGACACGCGACGGAGATGTCGTCCAAGGTAGCTACTCTCTCATCGATGCTGACGGTTTCAAGAGGATAGTTGAATACACCGCCGATCCAATCCACGGCTTCAACGCTGTCGTCCACCGAGTACCTTTGGTAGCTAAAGTAGCTGCGCCGGTAGCTTACGCCGCCCCAGCTCAATACTACCACCACTAAGAGACTGCAAAAATCAACATCAAAACCCAACTCCATCTATTGTATATAAAACATACTTATTTTTTTTATACCTATAATTTTATACCTATTAAAGTTACTATTTTTTTTTAAACAAAATCACGTTGTTTCTTCTTAAACATCAACTAAAAACAAAAAATTAACCTATAAACTTGAAATTTTAAAATTACAATCGAAACTGCAGATAATTAGCAAAACCGCTCGACAAATTAATTATTAAAGTGTTAATTAACAGTTTCAACATATTAATTATGAATTGACCATTAATAACACAGTTTTGGTAAATATAGTTACAATTAAATAATTATGAAATACCAGAAATAAATTCATAAAACAATTATTCTTTTATATATAATAATATTGAAATTAATTGAAAATTAATATTTGCAAATAATTTAAAGTTAAGCAACATACTTAAATATTTCTGCTTGGATGAAAATTAAAAAATTCACCTTAAATTTATAAAATTTACTAATTATATAAAATTAAGCAACGTTCATAGATTATTCTAGTTGGATGGAAACTGAATTTTGAATAAACAAAACTGATCTTGAATTGTAATTTATTTGTTATTTATAAAGTTTACTAATTGCAACGAAATCGCTGTAAAAGTACAAGAAGTAATTTTGTCCTAAATTGAATACGCACCGAAGTTTAGACAATGTTTAAACATAATATTTGCAGATAATTGAAAGTTAAGCAACGTACTTAAATATTACTGCTTGGATGAAAATTAAAAAATTCACCTTAAATTTATAAAATTTACTAATTATATAAAATTAAGCAACGTTCATAGATTA